CTAGAAGGGCTGGCAGGGGCAGTGAGAATCCCGTAGAGGGGCGCATGGGAGGTCGGAGAGGGGGGGGGGGAGCAAGGGAAGGGGGGAGGGCAGGGTTGTGTGCGCAGGCAAACGCAGCGCGGCGCTGTGGTTGACAAGTCGGGCTGGCAGCTAGGACGGGTGGCCAAGGTTACGCTAGCAGGTCGGGTTTGTGGGGATCAGGGCCCAGCAGTGGTGAGCACGTAGCAAGGGCTGCCGACCTGACCTCACCCACCAGATGCGCTGATGCAGCCCTCCCCCCCCCTCTCGCGCCGCAGTGAGGCGCCACTCTTCACTGACCGCCTCGAAGTGGCGCAGCAGCTAGCGCAGGACTGTGGCGGGCGCAGGGCAGGGCGCAGGATGAGCCACGGTGCCGGCCAGCGTGCGCGGATGCGCACGCATTTCGGCCCGTCGCTGCGGCAGGCAACCATCGCTGATTGCACCACTTTTTTTCTGCTGCGAGCCCCTCTCTGGTAGATTCAGAGGGACGCATTGGGAGGGGCTAAGTTGCATGCTGGGAGCCATTGAGCGCAACCCCCCTGCATGTGTCTCGACAATGGGAAGCGTTACTTGGAAATCTCTTGCGCCGCTATGCCGCAGCCACAGTTGCTGCGCTGGCATTGCCATGCGAGCGTATGCAGCCTGGCTATGCTTGCATTCGGGGCATCGGCGGCAGTATATGTGTCGAAATAAGGCTGCGTGTGTAAAATCAAGATTGCCCTTTGCCAGGCGAATGATGGCGGAGGGCCCGTTGCATCTTCACCGCGTGAGCGCAGGCGCGCAGGGCCGTGCGGAAGCGTGAAAAGAAGACGCCGCAACCAACAAAATGAACGAGGTGGACGGGGCGGCTATGGTGCGCCCTCGTGCTAGCTGCAACTCAAATTCCTCTAAGAGAGCGCAGCCGCAGCGCTGTGGACATGAGCAGCCACCACAAGCACCGCCCCTGACCAGGGGGCGCGGCCCCACGTACCGCGTCTCAGCGGCGCGCCTGCTTTGCGCCCCCAGCCGCACCCAACGCCACAAGCCGCCGCCCCGCCGACGCGCCGCTGGGCGCCATGGCGTTGACTGCGGGCGTCCCTCCTGCTCCCTCCCCAGCAGGACTGCACGTGCGCGGGAAGCAGCAAGGAGGGCGGTGCCTCGCAGCCACGGGCCACCCTGGGCATGGGGCACCGTGGCCGGGCACGCACAAGACTAACCACCACACATCCGACGTCGGGTGCCTTTCTAAATCAACGCCGATTCATTTTCGCAGATATCGAGCCTGAAAATGCATTGAGCGGCTCCAGAACGCCGGGTCACTCCCTGAGCGCCTGCACAGACGTCGCATTCTGCACGCGCCAGATTGTTTCACCTGCGAATCGCATTATCGCATGGGAAGACAGACACCAGTGTGTTCAGCAAAGAAGTGAGGTTGAGGAGCGCGGCTGGGGCCGCTCTCCGCACCGACATGGCAGACACAATATCCTCCCACCCAACCTCACCCCTCCCCCTCTGGCGACCAGGCCACAGCCTCCCGCCCCGCCCCGCCCCGCCCCTTCA